GATAGTGAAAGGCCCAAAAAGGCAACCAATTGGACCAACATCTCTCCACTTGGACAAGGCATCCGCAGCTCTCTCTCATGTCTAGGCGGGAGCTGCTGACCTTTCTGGCGAAGCTGCCACTGGAGTTTCGCTCCGGATTTATCCAGGCCACTCCCCGAGGCGAGGCCATCGCCTAAACCGCTCGCCGCGCAGACGCTCTCAGTGGAGAAATAGGGCAAGATCAACCTGGGCAGACTAGATGGAATGGGATGTGTGTATTGGTTGTGCATGTGTCAGTTAGGTCTTTGGCTAGTTGATCATGTGAGCCACGGGTCTCCAAATTAACTAATTGACCCGGGACAGTTACATACATATCAACTGCCAGGAAAGCGAACATTGCAGTAACATACACGTGTTGTTGGGCTTTTGTGAGACTATATTGTCAGGGTGGTTCAGGGTACAAAACATGGGTGCGAGCAGAGGTCAAGACCTGCTGTGCAAAACAGGAGTAAACAAAGGGAGGGAACACCACCTTGATTGATCCCGCTATTTGTGTGGCTAAAAGGAATGTGGAACGGAGCTTTCGTGCAGGTATCCATCTTTGTAACCAGAACCAGTTTCATGCAATGCTCTCAAAAGCACCACAAAGGGCGACCCTTTAAGGGCCTTTGTGACTCAATTTGGGCCTTTGAAGGTTTGCTGCTCTTCCTGCCGATGCTGGTGTTGAACACCTTGGGTTTTGTGGCTGAAGCGACGCGCCTCTTCGCTTCCTTGTGAACGCTTATTGGACGTCATGGCTCATGGATCCATGACATGTGCCACGACTCCTGACTTTGGCCGAACATCAACTGGGATTGTGGGGGTGATGAACCATGTATCATACATATTTAAGAGTCCCAACTGTTCATCACCGAGCTGGTTTAAAGTTTCCTACCCGGCTTTTGGTGACTCAAAGACATATCCACAGGATGGCTCTCAAGAATCCCTGAGCCTTCAAGGTGGATGAGGCCATTGCTCGTTGGGGCCCTGTGTTGCGCGCTCACTTTGATCACAAGATCCAGATCGGATCAGTGCAGGATCCCAAGGTTGTCGAACACGGCTGTCAGCACCGACAGAATGCTGTTGCAAAAGGTCATGGTTGAGTTAACCAGTTGAAGTGAAGTGAACAGTGAATAGTATACAAAGACATACAAAGTATCACAAGGGTCCTACTGGGAGCACAACAGAGCATAGCAGAATATCTACCATGAGTCACGGTCTCCTTGGAAAGTTGGATGTTCTGGCGTCTTCAGTTTTTGCATTGTTGCTAACAAGTTTGGTTGCATTTGTCGGACACATGAACGCATCTGGGATGGTAAAAGTGCACACATGTACCCGAATCCTTCAAGAATATCACAGGCCCGATTCCGCAACTGCATGAGGGATTCAGGCTTGACATATGCTCGGTGCTCTACACATACAACAAGACAGAGGCTGAGACACAGAGAGAGGCCGAAACACAGGCAGGCAGACAGACAGACAGACAGGCAGAAAGGCAGACAGACAGACATTGTAAGGAGACACATCAGCTGTTTGACTTCGGCAAACTTCAAAGCTACTGGGTCGGTCTTATACCAATTGACAAAAAACATGCAATAGCTTTGCCACGTGCGGCGAACTGTATGTATTGGATCTTGTGCCACTTGCCGTCTCTTTTGAGAGACATTCTAGTAGCGGCCAAGCTGAAAATCAATCCATAGCTTCAGTCACACTCCAGCAGAAGTCAAGGGAAGGGCTGTAAAGACCCAATGCTTAAAGGCAAAACCTTCATGAGCCTTTTGAAAAACGAACACGCAGCAGCGTTCTTTACAATTCTATAGTATGGTATTTTCACAACAACAACTTTCTTTGACAGATCGTTCTATGCTTCGTTTCTTGGAGCCTGGTGATTCTTGCCCTGTAGATTCTAGTAGTTAAGTTATGGCTCGCATCTTTTGCCAGGACCAGTGAGGCCCCGGCACATCAATACCCAGAGACCCATCCATTGTCAAACAACAGACCAGATTGTGACCCATCATAAAACTGTAGCATCAAAGATTAACAAGTTACATTACATGTGTTTGATTGTTCCACGGGCTACAAAAGACCCTGGAGATCCCAGGAGTGTGGAGGCAGTTCCTGTTTGGATTTTTGCGAACCACTTGGTGCGACATTTGCTCGGAAGGGCTCTCCATGATGCCCAAGCGTGCTGAAGGGGTCCTTTGCGAAGGTGCCGTATTCCTTTGTTGAAGATAAAGGGCGGCATTTGTTAGGGCATCTCATTTGTGGGTGTAAGACGAGAGACAGTCATCGAGTGAACATCAGTGAACCACGGTCCAAAATGGGACTTGTTGGGATGGACACCTTTTTTGTTCCTCTTGTGCAGGACTTCACAGGATATAGCGTGCATTCGTTCATTAACTGCAGCTAATTGCCACAAGAGTGCTCCAACTTGACCTACTACTACGCTACTATGTGCATTTTGTTTAGTTTGCTGGTCTTTGTCATTGTGTTTGGATGGCAATTCTCAAGTAAGAAGAACCTGAAACACTTATAAACACCAATGAGATGTGTTTGGATCGCTTTGCGTTCCATCATTCTAAATTCTATATCATAATTATGGTAACACTGTCAGCACATCTCAACAAGCTGACCAGTCGCGGTGGCGGTCATATGTTTGGGGGAAGATCCAAAGATCCAAAAAGTGTGGAGTATTGACACGTGACGTACGTAAGTGACATACAAGAAACTGAGATTAAGCAATCAACCACCATATTCACCAACACTTGACCGTGTCATGGAGTTTTAGGATACCCACACCTAGCGTGGATGAAAAGCCACCCATTTGCTGGAACTGCTTTCAACAGCAGAGTATCTACATTACATTCATTCTCGAGGTAAATATGTATGTAAATGTAACTTGTGTCTAAGTATTGTAAATCATTCAGATTTCAGACTGTCCGAGTGGCTCTCGTCCCTTCTTTGGGATTGCTTGGATCCTAGCTGTGCACCCGACTCTGCTGTCAGATCCAAAGCTGTGTCGGTGACTTGTCCGCTTGCACAGTGTGACCCGTTTGAGTTGCAATCCCTGTAGCCGATGTAATCCCCCGTTAAGCGAAATCATGGCACTTAGATAGCACCTTTTGCTTGTGAACACTTTGTACTTGCAGTCAACATCTAGACAGATGAAGACAATACACATCCTTTGTACCTTCAAGTTCCAAGCATTGCTCTATGTTTCTTGCAGCTGGGGTCTGGGGTCATAACTCTTCGAATGCACTCTTCCAACGTTCAAGCAAGATGTGCTGCTTTCTCAAACAATCAATCGATTTTCAACGGGGAATGACAGCAAAAGTAGTTGGCCTTAAGTTACAGCTGCAGGGATATATATTGTAAGGGCTCCGCCCCCTGCCGCCGACCCCGGGGATAAGGCACGAGATCGCCGACGGCGGCAGAGTTATAGGAATGGAAGTAGCAGCTAGTAGCATACAACAGTGCAGATGCACACGACATCGGTCACGGTGGCAAATTAAGAGGAATGGAGGTAGCAGCTAGTAGCGTACAACAGTGCAGACGCACACGACAGCGGTCACGGTGGCAGATTTATAGGAATGGAGGTAGCAGCTATTAGCATACAACAGTGCAGACGCACACACGCAGACGCACACGACATCGGCCACGGTGGCAAATTTATAGGAATGGAAGTAGCAGCAATGAGCATACAACAGTGCAAACGCACACGACATCGGTCACGGTGGCAAATTTAGAGGAACGGAGGTAGCAGCTATTAGCGTACAACAGTGCAGAGGCACGCACAGAACAGTGCAGACGCACACGACATCGGTCACGGTGGCAAATGTATAGGAATGGAGGTAGCAGCAATGAGCATACAACAGTGCAGACGCACACGACATCGGTCACGGTGGCAAACTTAGAGGAATGGAGGTAGCAGCTATTAGCATACAACAGTGCAGACGCGTACGACAGCGGTCACGGTGGCAAATTTATAGGTAGCAGTGCAGACGCACACGACATCGGTCACGGTGGCAAATGTAGAGGAATGAAGGTAGCAGCTATTAGCAGTGCAGACGCACACTTATAAGAATGGAGGTAGCAGCTATTAGCAGTGCAGACGCACACGACAGCGGTCACGGTGGCAAATTTAGAGGAATGGAAGTAGCAGCTATTAGCATACAACAGTGCAGATGCACACGACAGCGGTCACGGTGGCAAATTTATAGGAATGGAGGTAGCAGCTATTAGCACACAACAGTGCAGACGCACGCACACAACAGTGCAGACGCACACGACATCCGCGTACGCCCCCAGAATGTCTAACGTTGCTTTCGGAACCCGTAAAATAAGTCTGTGAAGCAGCGTCGAGCACGCCCTGTCTTCCGCTTTCGACCCTTTTCAGCCACGCTGCAAGCCGCCGGCTGTCACGGAAACGCCTCGGAAGCATCGAAAAAGCCGTTCTCTCACCTCCCACGCTTCCATGGCTGGTACACAAGAAGCCGTTCTCTCGCCTCCCACGGGTCCTCTGGCCACGGGTCCTCTGGCTGGTGCACAAGAAGCCGTTCTCTCACCTCCCACGGGTCCTCTGGCTGGTAGACACCTGTTCCGAGTGATTTCCTTCGCCACAGCTTTCCACAATCTAATTCGAGACCAAAAATCGCCCGAAAGAGGTCCTCCGCGTACGCAACCAGAATGTCTAACGTTGCTTTCGGAACCCGTAAAATAAGTCTGTGAAGCAGCGTCGAGCACGCCCTTTCTTCCGCTTTCGACCCTTCAGCCACGCTTCAAGCCGCCTGCTGTCACGGAAGCATGCCCTCGGTTGCCTCCTCTGGCGCGCGCCCCCTTCAACCGGCGGGGTCGGCGGATATATATACCACTGAAACGAAGCTTCAACATGCTTGGAAATGATTTGACTTTCAGCTCACTTGAACTCTGGCGAAGCAGCTCACCGCTACGCTGCTCGCTCGCGCTCACTTGAACTCCGCTAGGAACTCGTGGAGGGCGCCCGGCGGGATCCGGAGTTCCAAAGCCGCCTGCGGGTCATGGATATCGATGAGCAGGACCTCCAACAGCGTGGAGCCCCACAAACCGAGCCCGAAGCGGTCCGAAGGGCCGGGTCCCACGACGGAGTGCTTTGCGTTGTTCCGGGGGGTGAACACGAAGGAAAGACGGGCCTAAGATGGTTGAATATGTTTTGAAGCTGTGATTGGAGTAGGCGGGATTCTGTGACAATGCAAACTGCTTTTAAAGAGTGAGATGGTAAACCGGGTGGCCCAAGTGATGACTGATCACTGTCCCGGAAGGTCAAACTGAAGAAAGAATCCACGATCTTGGCATTGCACCCTGTGTGGGAGTGTAAAAATTACCGTGATTGATGTGCTGTACAAGATGGACATGGGAGGGAGGCTCAAGTCTGTTCAGACTTGTCAAAGCTTTCTCAAGTCTAAATCCTAGGCACATGTCCTCCACCGATAAGTATAAGTTTTGCTCTACAATTACACCACATGCATGTGAGATAGGTATATTTGAGGAGCAGGGTTGTCCTTCAAGCACACTCAAGTGCTGGACATGGGTGTTAGTTTCTGATGCATTTTCTTGAAGATAGTCTTGGTTGCCTCATGCTGCCTCAAAATGAAGCCTCTCCCAACCCTTTCTTTTCACACAAGAAGTACGGTTATATAAACGGTCAATCGCAAAGTTTGGTGTTCAATCGCCCTTTGTCTTGGTGACCGACGGTCGATCTCTCCCATCGGGTGATGCTGGCATCCGGTCTACCTCTCTACTTATGGATCCTCCTGGCGGTGCCAGCTGGCATGTCCTGGCTACAGTGCTGGATGAGACTTTACTGGCCAAGCTCCTCGCATTGGAATCGGCTGCAGCTGGCGAAGAGGAGCACACCCTTGAGTTTTTTCATTGCTTTGGTGAAGACCCTCGGAGTCAAAGAGGACTGAATAGAAATCCGAAATGGAGAAGCAAATGGAACCCACAACTGGATAGCATTGTCCAAGAATGGAGGTGAGACACTAAAATACTGAAACCGTTTTATCTGCCGAGACCGTCAACTTTCCGCTGGTTTACACCTTGCTGAAAAGTCATGGGCTACTCGTAGCTGCATTGACCTTTGGAGCAGAATGGACATGCAGCGGACATGATGTTGATTCTGATGATATCCCTAACCGCCCTAACCATATATGGTACTTGTACCAGGTCCTTAGGTGGGCCAAGTTCCTGTACGATCGGGGCAAGTGTCCACTTCGGGTTGTATTTGATGATCTCCCTAACCCAATATACGGTAATATATATATATATTTTGTAATATATACTGTATATTTGCTTATTTATTTATAAGGTATATTATTGATTAAATTCTACCACTGAGTTTTTCGTGCCCCACAGAGATGTGCACCGCAGAAGTGGCCAAGGACAACAAGGAAGATTCTGAGACAGAGGCAGCGGATCCTTCAGCAACCGATGTTTCCCATGTAAAAGGTCTCGGTGTTGGAAGTCAATGTGTTGGAAGTCCCGTGCAAAAGGAAGTGATGTTTGATGGTCAGTTTCTTCCACCAAATTTATGGGGGCACTGGAGTTCTCGACGAGGCCCTATCATTGCTGAAGAGCGTGGATGCGAAGCTCTCGCTGGAGGAGCTACCGCATCGCTACCGCTCAAAGACCTGGCTTTCAGTCAAGGAGGTCGCTGACATGAAGATCCTCTTCTGAAATCTCGATTGGTGGACCACCTCGTCCAACATCCACCAATCCAATGTCGAAGTAGGTCAATATGTGGCAAGGCATCCAGATCCATTTCATTACAAGTGGATCAGGGGTTAGACCTGACATGGATGGGTGTTTGGGGGCACGGAGGTGTTTCATGACATGTATGTTTTCTCAACACGTGTTGCTCATAGCGTGATGTTAGACCATTGTTTATCCAATTTGGCTGGCGCATGATTTTGCGAATTGAATCACATGAAACTGGATTTGCTTCAATCACCTTTGATCAATGCAGCCAGTCTCTTCACATCATCCTCCTAGCCGGGCCCAAGGTTGTGGACCGTTCTTTACATGATATGATATGATGTCCCCATTTGCTGTCAATGTTAAGACTCCCTGCGCACCAGATTGACGTGTTGGTGGTGAATGTCGTGGTGCGCTAGCTGGTGGTTTAGAGGGAGCAACGGGGCTGGGCTATCAGATTCCCATTGATGGGAGTCAAGGACCTAAAGGGAATCTCTTAACCACTTGCCAGTGTGTGTGTGTGTGTGAAATTGAACAACATGGTCAGCCTATTAATATAGATATATATATATGTATAATATGTAACTTTTTTGCTACTTCATGCTGCTAGTCATGTCAGGCTCCGCTATGCTTTGAAACAAACAGGAGCACTTGACGTAGAAAAGGTTTTATGACTCGTTCTGCCACTTTGACTTGGCCTGCATCTTAGATCTTTCTGTGTCACTCGCTCAAAAGTACTTCTGCTTCTTGTGTTGTGCTTCTAATCCTTCAAGCCAGCCACACACACACACACGGACACAGTGCGTAGACGGCGTAGACGGCGTAGACGTCATGCGCGTCATGCAAGTCAATGGAAGGCCTGGGCGAAGGCCATACAGTTACTCATACAAACACCGACAGACACAACATAAGGCCATTCAGAGTCTATTTGTTGTCAAGACATGATACATTTGTTTTCATGATTTTCCATGTTTGTTTAATGTTTATATATATTTTTAAAATAATGATTGATTTAGCCTTCCCTCCAAGCCCACCAGATTTTAGTTTCCACTTGGATCCCTTTTTGCTTGGGATCCTAAAAAAGATTTCTTCAGTCCTTGGATGCTCAGGATTCCCTTGGCCCTTGGTTGCTCCAAGCAGGGCCACGGCGATGTCCTTTGGGCGGCCGCCGAGTTGGCCGCCGACGCCGTGGCCGGCGCTGCGGAGTTCTCCGTCCACGGCCTCGGCGAGGGCGCGCGGGTGTTGGAGCTCGGTGCTGGGCTACCCGGACGCCCTTGGGGGAGCGCGGTGGGGGTTGCCCCATGTGTGGCCGTTGTTCGGGAACTCCCTGTGAAGCCCAACATTTCACACTATTTCTCAGTTTTTCATCATTTTTGAGGTACAACCCTCTGGTGAGCCGTGGGCATAGCGGGGTTTGACTCTTCGGGGCATAGTGGGGCAATGGAAGAGGCCGCTAGACAGATCTATTGGAACTGGGTCATGTTCTTCATTCACCGGCCCAGTCAATTTTTCAGCAGGGTAAATAGTTGATCAAGCCTTTTGTGTTGTTCGCGAAAGTACGGACCTTTTTGTGAAAGATTTGCGAACGATATATAGGCATGTGCAAGCAAGTAAACCAAGAAGACTCCTAGGATATGATATACCCCTCACGAAAGTAAACATGGAGTTCCGGGAAGAATGGCGTTTCCGTAAGAAGGAATTTATATCAACCACCATACAATATAATCAATAAGCAAATATATACATATATATATGGTTAACCATGGTGTATATATATATATATATTTATTGTTTATTATTTATATTATCGATATGCAGGTTGGGTGTACTCCACACTTGCACCAATAACAAAAGCAAGCAATGGTAGCATCATTATTTCACGATGTTCAAGGTAAAGATGGCTGACCCATGAGTTGTTGTGTTGTGTGTTGTGTGTTGCGTTTTGTCACCCACTGACAGAGGCTTTCATGTTTGGACAAAGGCTGGCTTTTTTTCTGCTGATATTGCCAGGCTCGTTTGTGGGATAGCAGATGGTCTTTTTCACTGCAGACAGCCTGTAAGCAAGAATTAGTTGCAAGATTATCTCTTGAGTCAACAAGAAACCAAACAACAACCGGGGTGGAGGTTCTTGCTGCACTTCCTTTGCCAGTCACCCCATGAAATGTGAACGCCATAGCCGCTGCTTTTGCGTCCGTGGAAGCATAAAACCCTAAGCAGTCCCACTCTTGTCCACGACCGGCGCATCTGGTCTGGCAGTTTTGAGTGAGTCTGTTCAACGTCCATGTCCTGCAGATTCAGACACATCAGTGTAGCTTCAAAACAAAGACCACGGACAGTGCAGATCGAAGCACTCAGGCTGGGCTTACCCTCAGCCGTGGCCCTCCGATTGGGAGCAGAAGTGGTGGCCACTGTCGCTGTGACGCGATCAGTGAGGCGAAACACCATACACCCCGACAAACACATCATAACATTGAAGTGGACAATTCCCTGTTTGTATATACAGGAAAGGAACGTAGTCCCAATGTCTTCCAAGGGAGCCTTTTTCACTTCCATGTTGGTGAGTCAGAGTGTAATTACTGAGTCCTCAATCCACTGTGTGCATGTTTTTGGGGTGGGTTTTGCCCAGATGAGAGTTGAAGTGGTGATGAGATTGGAGATACTTCATGACTTGTAGATCATACTGTAACATACCTCATGGGCCCCGGAGAGAATATGACAAAACCAACAAATTTGCTGCGTTTGGGTGGGTGGGGAACACGGGAAGCACCGTCTTTGGATCTTTCTTTGATGTCATGACAAACATGGCGAGCGTTTGGAAGTTGTTTTTTGTTTTGGATGTCTTTTTCGGAAGTCTTTGGTCTCATGTTCTGACCAAGGACCTTTGGGACCACGAGCGGCTCTTAGCCTTGTCGAGCACATTGGCCTTGAATCTCAAGCTCAGCACTGGGGGAAAAGCACGAGTTATGCCACACAGGTGGGACATGCGAAGGATCTTGCCGAGTGAACTGGACAACCTGGGATCCGGATTCCTTACAACAATCCTTACACTCTTCTACAAGTCAGTTTAGGGGCCCCTTTGTTTTGGGGAGTGCAAACTCCAGCAGATTTTGTGTGAACTCTTTTTGGTCATCGAGGGATTCATGCGCCTGTCATGATGTTTCGCATCTCCCACATCGCCGCCTGTGGAAGCCTAGTCAGGTGGGGAGATCCTTGCGATCTTCTATGTGCCGAAGGGCTGTTTCAGCTGATTCTTTGCATCTTGTTGCAGGAGGGTTTGGCGGTGCGTGAAGATTTGAAAACAACGAAAAACATTAAACAACAGTGATGATGAACTGCCATAGGGATCTGAGGAGGACGAACCACATGTTTGGTAGCAGCTGCCTTTGACATCCTGTGACACCACAGGTATACAGCTATACACAAAGAGATCTTGCAAGTTCGATGACGGTCATGAATGAAAGCGCTGCCAATCAAAGTCCTGAATACTGCTGAACTCGCTTTACAAATCAAATGGTCAATGGATATGATATCACTGAAGTTATGCATAGCAACGCACAATTTGCCCATCAACCGCACTCTTAGATTGCCTTTAGGATCCATTTATATAGGTGGCTTGTTTCTTGTGTCGAAAGCCTTCCGCGATGGGGACTTGGCCCAGGTAATGACTGCCTCTACATGCCAGATCTTCATGGAGCGCTACTGGACACCATCTTTGCTTGCCTAGCGCCAGACTTTTGGACTCTAACCGTTTTAAACCAATTCATCAGGGCAAATCATGCATCATTGCAGTCATGCAAGATCATGCAAGCAAATCATACAGTTCCAAATGATTTCTATTTGGTTTTGGACCCCCAACATTTGGATGTCCACCACGAAGGCCGACGAAGGCCAGGGTTGATGTTCTCTAATATATCCCTTCTCGTTACTAGTAGTAATGCACTTGTTACATCTTGTTACTATATTAGCTTCTTGTTACTAGTAGTAATGCCCTTCTCGGTGGTTCGGAAGGCCTGGTTTAGATCTTTTGACAATCAAGCCTTGCTCGCGCCTCGACACCATCTCAACACCCGTTGTCGCACTATGCTGGGGTTTGCAGAGTTGGTAATACTGAAGAATCTGCAGGACATATTTTGCATTGGTGAGGTAGACCCCATCTTGCGCCGTCTGAGAAGCCTTTGTTCCGTATATTTTTTCTTCGCGTCAAGATGCACACGTACACACCGACGACTCAACAATGACTCGTGGGAATGTCGGGGGCTTTTTTTGGCATGGAGTCATCGCACCATTCTGTCTTTGGCAGTCCTGATCCTTCATAGGTTACTGCAAAGTTAACACTGGAGGATGGGATGGTGCAGCTCTCCTAAATTTGTGTCAGGCTTGTTTGTTGGGTCATTCTGAACCACTTGGTTGGTGCTCGGGATATCATCCTAAGTATGTAGTGCTCGAATCAAAACCGTATAGCATAAGATTTGAATACAAGATAGTACAAGGGTGTTGATGATGAAATCAATTGCGCATAAGTCTTGAGACTCACGAGGAAAACCCCGAGGTTGTGGAACAGGTGGCCGACAAGTGAAGATGTTTGTGTGCAAGTTTTGTTTGGGTTGCATCTCTTCATGAACCAGAGACGGAAGACCAGAAGAAGACTGTGTTTGTGACATTTTGTGTCCATTTCTTCTGGTCTTCGGAGTCTTTGGTTTCGTGGCAAGTTGGATGGTGCATGTCTGGTTCTGGTTCGTTATTCGCATGGCTATGGCCTAAGTGCCTAGGAGTTGACGACCGCCCAAGGACAAAAGTGTATTCCTCGCCTGGCTGGCTACATGCATATTTCTCTATGACCTCCAAATCTGTAAGAATATATATTACTATATGCTGTAATATAATTCAATGAAGAACAGTATCTAAAAGCAATTAATTAAACACACACGAAAACACAATTTATATATATAACATATATATATATATATTGCGTTGGGCAAACTCTGCCTCACTTGCAGGGAGATTGGCTGCAGACGAAATGAACAACGTTGAGAGTCGCATTCGCGTCACCGAGGATGGACTGGCACTGATTTGCTTCTCCCTCCACCAGACGGCGCCTGCTTCCGCGATCTTCGGTTTTTTTGACCTGGCGAAGGCTGGGTGGAGGCTTGCAATGATCCTATTGAATTGAACAGAATCCTTGGGAATGTCACAGACTCTGTTCTAGGAGGTTCACTACAGAAGCTCAGGAACTTACGCATTCACTTGGCATACTCATGAACATAACATATGGTCACAATTCTTCATGTTCCGGCCTTTGTGAACCATGATACAACGATCCACGTTACCATACTTTACCCCTTAAATAATTAGTTGTGGATTGCAACTACCAGATGGAATAAACGATTCCTGTTCACGTTTTGGAAACGCATGACTCTTAGAGCAGTGAATGTTTACGTGACTCTTGACGATCTCTACGTCACGAGAACACAAAAACAAACGGTTAAGAATCCACTACTCAGCGAATTGATGGAATATGATAATATGAGTGATAATATGATATATCTTTGGTGTGCTATTGATTTAGTTGTCGCATCCCTGATCATGTGAACTTTGACAGAACTCTTTTGGTGACCCTTAGGACCGGCGCTTCCCAAGCAAAACACGTTTATTGCCTTCCTGGCAATGGGGCACCTGTGGTGACCCCTTTCGAATGATTCCAGAGGAACACAGGATTTCAAGCAGCTCTAAGGTGTTCACCGATTTCGTTGATGGACAAGACAAAAAGCACCATCATAGATATCCATCAGGGATCGACAATCCCTGCAGATCAGCGACTAATGGCTGAGGGGATCCCAGTGTTCCCACATGGTGTAGATAGGATATCCCGATTGAAATGTCCTCTATGGAATCAGGTAAGCCAGGTACCGAAACGGACCATTTTGCAATAATTAACAATTCCTCGCTATAGAATGGAACCACTGAGGGTTCCAGATTCTAAGACAAGCAGCGTTTTAGCTACATTTGTCCGTGAGCTTGCGCTACTGGACCCGGGATGTCAGATTGTATACAGATGTTTTGGCTTCTTACAACTGTCCTTGAGCTTCTGCATGGTCACATGCGGGGGGTGATTTTACACTGAGGTATTCTTGCTTTAGCCTTGATGGAAGTTGAACCAAGAAAGCCTAACCTAAGGCCTGTTGTGGCTTGATCACGTTCTATGAGGTCAAAGAAGGTGCTGCTCGCTTAGAGTCAGTTCTAGTAAGTACAAAAGTTGCTCGTTTCAGCTCTTTTTCAGCTCAAGGTTTAGCCTTGATGCTCAATGAAGACTTTAATGGATGTTGATGAACACAAAAAACATATCTGGATGATCCTGGATGGGCATAGACAAGGCAAGCAACAAACAGATCTCAAACTCAAGGACGTGGGACAGAAACATTTGATTTTTCAGTTGAGATTAGCTTTCACTGTTGAGATGGGTGTACAGTCGACGAGTATGTTGAGATCAGGTCTTCGCATTTCTTTGGGAAGTCAGATCTGAAATGGTTTGAAGTTTTTGTATGGGATTGATGAATCAAAACGATGCATATCGCAACATACAAGCACCAATCCAAAGCAGAGAACGAGGAGCCTCACTCTTTTTGCTTGGATTTCATTGCATCAAGCTTGCAAGTTGTCGGATGTGGACACGAAGGATCGGAAACGGTAATCGGAAATACTTTTAACTTTTTTCACTATAGTATTATATATAGAATCAGATGATGTTTGGATATATTGATGTTATGTTTTATTGTCGGAGATGGGGGGTGTGATTCTTCAGTTATCGGATCTTTTTACGATCAATCTCCGTTTAACAGTTATGTTCCCATTCCGACTAAGGTGGTTACATTTTATAGTGATGTCGTTTTTCCAGGACTGAGATTACTATAGAATGGGTGTACCTCGGTGAACATGATAGGATTACTGTATATGATCTTTGCTTGTGGACGTGGCCCGAAGATGAACTCGGGTGGTCTGCAACCACCAGGTCGCACAGGCCTCCCGCCCAGCGACAACGCCATGGCCAAAGCGGCAAACACAATTCTTTGTGGTCGGACCCCGGATGGCCTGAATGATCCTGAATGTATTTGGAGGGAGGTTTTAAAGATGTGGCTAAGTGGGACCACCTACCGACTACATGGATGACAAAACCTCCACGTTGGTTTCGCCACAGGCTCGAGGCTTCCGAGTGGAGAAGCTGGGCGAGGCGCAGCGAGCGCCACGCTGTGCAAACATGGCTCTGGAGAGACTCTTTTTCCTGTGAACATGACCCATAAATCCACAGTTACAGTAAGTCCGCAGGCCACTAAATGATGAAATACATGATAAATGTGTCTACAGTGTTGGGGGTCCAGGTAAGGTAGGATTTGTTCCACCAAGAGTAATTATCTAGGATATCTAGGTCCACAGCTTTTTTTTGGACCCCCGTTCCCTTTCTGCATCAAGGAAGCTATGTCTATGTGAAGACTCTCCGCAAGCGATGCTAGTGACCAGCAGGTGATGGGTTCTCCCTGCCGACCTACCGTGCAGATCTCGCTCCAAACGACACAACCTCGGCCGGCCTTGGTCGCCTGCCGACTGGAGCCGACGTTGACTGCTGAGCAGCTCCCCACCACCAGCTGAACCATGTGGTGCCTGCAAATGGATCAAGGATCAACAGATCTCATGGACGGTGGCGAGTGGATCATAGCAGGCTTGAATCTCTCAACTCTTGGCTTACAGTGCATATCCGATACAATAATTCATACGGCCTGCTTGCTGAATCTTCGCTGTGAAGAACAGACAAAATCCATTGTTTCGAGCAGTGAAGACTGTCCCCCTGCCCTAACTGAAGCAATACCCAGAAATCCACAGAATGTCATGTTGTGATCTCTACTGTATTGGGGGTTCCCAATATACTTTTGTACAATATGAAGTCTTTGAAGCTCATGACATAGGCGTCTTTGTCTTTGTAGTTCCAGTGTTCTGAAACGTTCCTCCTGTAGCGACCACGCTTCGCAGAAGTAGTTCTTCCTGGTCCATTAAACCTGCGCCAGATGAATGTGCGTTTCACCGGCGTTACTATAGTAGCGATGCCCTTTGCTCCTAGTAGCGTCCTTTGTTCCTAGTAGTAATGCCAGGAGCTACTAGTAGCGTCCTTGCTACTAGTAGCGATTTTTTCCTCCCAAGGCTGTTCGAGATGATTGACACCAATGACCAAGGCGGTCGACGGTCGACGGTTCGACACGCTGAGTGTTGGATGGTGATAGACGTGAGCCCCAAGAACTGTCCACGCGTTCTTTCAGTATCCCAAATACCATAAAATACATTCAATTCCCGTTTTTGTGGAAGGAGAAGTGCACGGGTTTCGGAGTGAATGGCACAAGCCCCAGTTCTGTTTATTCACCCCCATTCGAAATATTCCCATGGATTCTTACATGTTTTTACCGTAGAGTAACTCTAAAATCACTGTATCCCAAGGCTCAAAAACTGACGATCTTGATCTTGGGGGCCGGCACAAAGAAGCCGCTATGCTATGTGGATCTAGCTCATCATGCAAATCAGGAAGGGGACCACCCCCCCTGAGACTCGCCAACCCTCGCCCCACGTTCCAAAAGGACTCACAAGGTGATCCTGGAGAGTATGCTGCTCACAGGGGTAGCATTGGTTCACGGGCACCTGGCAACAAGGCAAGCAATGCAAACGAAAATCCTTTGGCGCCTTGTGGTTTCTTGCCAGTTGGAAACCACTGAAACCACTAGCAGCACCATGTTTCCCTGTAGGCCAGTTCCTACAAGCTCCACGTTCTTTATTGGATCGTGTGTGCACCCCCTGAAGATGGCTGCAGTATACACTCCACCTGTCCACATGCCGCGCTTAGTTTCAGTGAGATGATTCAAACCACGTGTCCAACATGGTTTGGGTGCTCCACCGTGGCTCAAAGTCATGAACTGTAAGGTTGTGTGGGGTGGTGATTAGCGCCAAAAGGAGCCGAGGTGGATCTCTATATAGCGTAAACGAGCTATGTGGTTAGTGGTGTACCACAAAAGGTTAGTGAGCCATTAATCTTGCTAATGAACGCCTGAGCCTCCATCAACCACTTCAGCTTTGCCCACATCGCTCCGCATCGCATCGTGCTGCAGGGTATATCAATGCCATGGAGTTCATCGCGCCCCTGAGCCGGTGGGTGCATGATTCCAAGACAGCACCACGCCACTTGGAGCAAGACCGCACGCCACCGGTGTAGGGTTCGGATCGAGTAAATTGTTGTGCCCACTCCCTCTGCGTAAATCTGCATGGATGTAGGAGAATTCGAGTGTTGTTTTAGGCTGCACCGCATTTGAGCTCCTGCCAACTAGTAGTTGTCTTGGCACCCAAAGCACTTTCCCATGCATGCCGCATCGAAGCATATCGAAGCCAAGGTTTTATCAAGTACAACCTGCAGCATGCTGGCCGCATAGAGGGGGGGTGATTCCTTTTGTGTCAGAAACGATTGCGGTGTACCCCTAGAAAGGTACATCTCCTAGGTTGTTCAGCATCCAGAATCTGAGTCAGAGGGTGTTGAGTGTTGTGTCGTTTTGTTTGCCACAGATCGCACAGATTACCCTTGGTTTGAGAGCACAGGTCACTGTTCCAGGCAGGTCCAATCACCGAGCTGTCAGAATCCTCCAATGTCCGTGTCACTCCTCGTCAAAAGAAGACCATCCTTTTTGAAGGTAAACTCATCATAGCTCAGGGAAACTTTGAATTTCTTCAAAGTCATTTCTGGCGGTATACGGTATACTGTACCGCTTGCCACCATGAAAATTAGAGGCACAATTAGGACTTGTTTATACTTGTTTTATTGAGTTGCCTGTAAGAGACAACCACAACCAAATCCTGTTGGATTGTGTTACAGTATTTCAATTTTCATATCACGCCCCCCACTCTTTTCGGCCTTCCCCGGTTTCGTCCTTTGCTTTGCGGACATCGTTGAAGTCAGCAAGGCGAACTATGCATCAACAAGAAGAGCTCTTCATTTTTTGCCAGGACCTGCACTTGTGAGCCTTTCTCCATCCATCAAATCGGTCCTATGACCTACATGATCTACGATTGTGTGCCTTCTTTCCTGTGGTGTTCAGAATGTACAGTACACATGATGAAGGTCAATCCATGTCAATCCCAAATCCAAACCTGGACTTGCAGTAACTTATGTGCTTAGCAAGGTGTTTGCAAAGAGTTTGCCCACGCTTCACGAAGCATTCGCGTGATCACATGGATCACAGGTGGTCAAGTGAGGTCTGACAAGCGTGACCCCAGTTGAGGTCGCAAACTACTACTACTACTACTACTACTACTACTACTACTACTACTACGACCACCACCATGGATTTTGGGGGCCCGAACTGCTTTGAGTGTTGCGAATCATTGATGCTCCACGAACTCCATATCAGACCCTATTCAACCATGTTTGGCCATGACTGTAAACCTTAATTTTTTGTAGTCTTTGTTTGCGCGACTCAGCAGATTGTTCCTGCCTTCTGGCTGACTTTAACCAGCTTTTCCTGCTGACTCTCGGCGGAAATGCTATTCCTCCTTTGTGGCTGGATCCACAGGTGACGGTGTGGGTTTGAGGTGGTGTTTCCGAAGCTTGGCACATTAGATAACCGACAGCGGCAACACCCTCAGCATAGAATCCTAGACCCCAGTTGCTTGTCCCCCAGCGCCACTCCAAACAGTCGAGAGAGACCCTGTCTGGCAAGTAGAACTGTGAAAAGTTATTGTGGTAATACCTCCGGACCATGTGCTTTATCCCTTTCTGTGTTTTTCTGCATGTGTTGCGCAAGAGTTCCCTAGATAAATCTACAACAAACATGTTGCACAAAAGTATCCTATTTTATGAGATTGTCGGGCAACAAGCCCTGCAAAAGTGTCATGCAAAGGCTTTTCTTTGAGAGTGTCCTATAGTGCAAGAATGCCCCAGAAGAGTGTCAAGCAAGAATGTCTCAGAGTGTTGCGCAAGAGTGTCAAGCAAGTGTCGCGCAAGAGCGCTGTAGATCAGTCAATCAGGAGTGTTTTGAAATAGGGTCAGGCAAATCTCCCATAAAAGCCTTAACTGTCACGCACGCGTAAGGACACTAAAGAACCCCACCAAAGTGCTCACAAGAATTGCGCACGAACGGGTGTCAAACAAAAGTGTCCGAAAAGACTGTGCATGTCGCTCCAAAATGTAGTGCATGAAGGATCGGATGGCCATATGTTTTTTTTGTTGCTGCTGAGCTTTTGTGGCTTTCGTGGCTTCTGGATTCTGTGTGGCTTTTGGCTTTCAAGGAAGGAATTCTTATCCATTTATCCATCTATCTATCCATCCATCTATCTATCTATCTATCTAATAATCTAATCTAATCTAATCTAACATATCTAACCTTATTTTATCTTATCCTATCCTTTCCTACCCAATTCCATCCTATCTATCCTATCTTTTCTTTTTATTTATGTATCGTATCGTATCGTATTGTATCCTATCTATCTATCTATCCATCCGTCCATCGATCTATTTATCTTTCTTATCTATCTATCTGATCTATCTATCTATCGATCTATCTTTCTTTCTGTTTGTCTTTCTCTTTGTCTTTCTTTCTTTCTTTCTTTCGTTCTTTCTTATCTATCCATCCATCCATCCGTCCATCGATCTATCTATATTTTCATTTATTTATTTGATCTATCTTGTGTATTTGATGTGTCTTATCTATCTTATCTATCGTTATTATTGTATCTGTCTTCTCTATCTTATCTATCTTACATACTATCATATCTTATCCATCTTTCCTATCCTATCCTATCCTATCCTATTTATCAATTTGTCTATCTATGTTCCTACCTACTTAGCTATTTATCTATCTATCTATCTATCTACCTACCTATCTATCTATCTACCCTACCTATCTACATATCTGCCTCTCTCTCTCTCTGTCTGTCCGTGCGTCTGTCTGTCTAATCGATCTAATCTATCTAGTCTATCTAATCTAATCTAGTTTAATCTAATCCAATCCAATCCAACCTATCTATCTTTCGTTTTATCTACCCTATCTATCTTATTACAGTATGTATATTAGGTATCTATATAACTATCTATCTTACCTATCTATCTAATCAATCTATCTATCAATCTATCTATTTAATGTATCTCCGCCTGCCAGGATGCATCGACAAAAAAACAGAGTTATCAGAAGCCCCACATGGGATGGAAAATGGATGGACACCATTGCACCTGCCACAAAACAAAAAAAACAACTGAATCCGATCCCTGAAGGATCAAAAAGAGCGCACGCGCACGATCGATAGCTCTTCAAACTCTACCGACAAGCGTGCGTTTTGACACATGTACTGTATTCCTGGAACCCGAAATGATGACCGTTTTTGAGCGCCAATCAGATTTGAGACGCCACATAGCTGGTGTTTGTTTTCGGGTGTTTGGCTAAAACAAAAAACGAGATCAAACGCTGTGTTCATTATGTGGAAAACTTATTGTAAGGGCTCCGCCCTGGTGCCGCCGACCCCTTTTTTGTGAGACAAGGCAGCATGCCTAGGAAGGCAACAACCGAAGTTGGACATAGTTCTGTTGTGGACACCAATGGTGGTGGTCGTGGACCTAAGACAGAACAACTGCTTATATAAAGGAGCGACCAAATGGCCTCAGGGGACTGTGGGTCCCAGAGGCTCCCTCCCAAGGCGCCCGGAAGCGTTTGAAGCTAAAATGCTTGACGTCGCCTGGCGCGTTGCCTTCGGAATCCTAAAGAAAAGAGGTGCAGGCCTAGGTGGCAGGTTCCAGAGGCTCGGTTCTAAGGCTGCAGTGCACGGGCTGCACGTTCCAGAGGCTCCCTCCCCACGCTCCCGCCTGACGCAGGCAATGCTGCGGTGCAGGAGCAGGCCAAAGGCGCCGGGAAGCTTTTGAAGGCGCCTGGACGTTGCCTTCGGGACCCTAAAGAAAAGAGGTGCAGGCCGAGGTGGCAGGTTCCAGAGGCTCAGTTCTAAGGCTGCAGTGCATGGGCTGCACGTTCCAGAGGCTCCCTCCCCAGACTCCCGCCTGACGCAAAGGCTGCGGTGCAGGCCCCGAGCCCACAGCCTGCGCAACTCCGCCCACAGTCTCGCAGAGCCCAGAGCCCACAGTCTGGCAAGTGCGAGGTTTTGGAGCGTCTGAAGCGTCCAGAATCCAGAAGCTGGCTGCTCCAACGGCCAGTATGGCCCACAGTCTGGCACAGAGCCCAGAGCCCACAGTCTAGCAAGTGCGAGGTTTTGGAGCGTCTGAAGCGTCCAGAATCCAGACGTATGGCACAACCATGGCAAGTGTCGAAGCGTTTGAGGGGCTTGAGGGGTTT